GGGAAAAAGAAACAATAATAATAAAAAAGGTAGTTCTAGGTTACAAGTATTGGTGCATCAGATGCTTTAAATGAAAAATGAATGGCCAACAGAAGTTGCTGGAGAAATGGAAATAAGGCAAAAAAAAATCAACTTTATTTCTTAATTCTGATTGCCTTTGTTTATAAGTAATGGATTAAACAAAACATCAAGTTACAGTAGTGCCTATATGTTAACAAAAATAAGTTCAGATGGTGCTGGAGGAGATTATATGGAAATAAACACTACCCAAGGGCCAATGTATGTGCTCTCCTGATCTGGACTTGTGCAGTAATTTTGCATCTGTTTTTCATCCCCTGGAAAAACAAGGAGGCTCTTGCTGTCTGAGAGCTGCTTATCACGTTGGATTGAAGCTCAAACTGGCAGTCATGTGAGTAGGGTGGAGAGGCTCTGCTCATGACAGGGGAAAAAATACTTGTGAGCGCCAGCAGCCTGTCTGCCTGCGGTGGAGTGGCTTAGCGGGTGCATCGCCTAAAGGGATGTTGTTGGGTTACAGATCGTGTTGGAGGATTAATCCCGTGTTGAAAGTGTAGCCTCATTTCTGTTAGTGTTTATGTGTGTGTGTGTATATATATATTTTCATTTAAGGAAAGTCAAATGCTATGTGGGGCGCAAGAAGAGATCAGAGTGGCTCATTTTCATAGGGCTGCGGATGGGGCTGGGGGAGAGGCAGGGAAATCTATTCAGGAGATAATTGGTGAAGTCAGGGGAGCAACCCGAAGCTTTTCCTATGTGGAGGAAGAAGTTGTTTTATAGGAAAGGTTGCAGTGGCCTGCAGGAATGAGGGCATGAGGTGTCTGGGGAATGCCAAGAAATAGGTGGAAAGGGAGATGAGGTGCTGTTAAGATAGAGTAAACAAATCTAGGAGGTGGCTGTTAACACAAAGTGATTTTCAGTGGAGTAGCACCGGCAAAAATTAAAAGGGAGATGAAGAGAGAAAATCAAGTGTGTGGTGGTGGTGTTGTTTTAATACCCCCGCCCTCCCCCCCACCCGAAAATTCGTAGCCTTCACTAGGCTGTAGGCAACAGTACTGAACATACATTGTGTTTGTGCCAACATTGTATTTTACTTCTGGCCTCAGTTTGAACTCTAGTTCAAACAATGGGGCGCTGTGTGCAACAATTTGTTTGCAAGCTGAGCTTAGGAGTTATGGTGGAGCTCTATAGCTGTTGGGAGACAAAAAATGAGTGTTAGGAAGGAGGAGAGAAGAGACAAAAGCTCCCAAGGAAAGCAGGAAGTTGGGAATTTTTGTTTTTCCTGCATGGAGAGGCAGGATATCAGAACACTGGGAACTGGGAAAGTGACAATGCAATAGTGAGTCATAAAATAAAGGAGAGAAAGCTGGCTGGAATTTAGTGGATGCTACAAGTTTTCAAGCGTGTGGGTTGAAGAGAATGAAAACTAGGATGGAAGTACCTAGAAGAGGAAGTGGTGGAAAACTTCTTAGCAAGACAGGTTAAGATCAGTGATTAATCCCCCACTAACCTCTACAAGACCAAAGCACAGGGGAAAAAGTGATTCTCTGAATTTCAGGGGCTGCAGGTAAAAGAAACTAAAGGTAAGGTACAGATCATACTTGGAGTTTCTGGGAGTTTGGGAATGTGTAAACTGGAGTGAAAGATGTCTGTGAAGGATGGAAAGCTTCACAAAATATGAAGAAAGAGGAAAAAGAAATAGGAGGCCAAGAAAAATGAGAGTAATGAGAGGTGGTGTAAGAAGACAAAAGCTTTTTTTTTTTTTTTTTTTTTTTAAAAAAAAGCCAAGTAACCTGAGAGATGGGGAAAAAAGTGAAAGTGAGAATAGTGGGCAATGACTTCCTAATTGGGTTCTATTAAAATAAAAAATATAAATAGAACACCTATGGAATGATTTAAAAAATCAGTTTTAAAATATTTTGTAACTATTTTACATAGCTTGAAAGAACATACGCTAACCTTCTGTGTGGAATGTCTCTCTTTCAGTGATCCCTTTGCGGCTCATCATGAATATATGCGCCAGATGATGAGAAGTTTCTCTGATCCTTTCGGAAGGGATCCATTTCTCAGCATAACGGATGGTAGGGAGAGAAGGGTCGATCGAAGAACGCGCCATGAATCTCAGCTTGCTCCGAGAGGAAGTCGCAGAGTAAGATTTGGGGGTTATTTTGTTTATTTTGTTTGTTTGCTCTGCCATTGTTAAATAGAATTTATACTTGCTATACTATATTTGGCTTCACATTTGCATTTTGCCTAAACTTAGTCCAGTGGAAAAGCAGGCCTGTGACCTTGGTCAGATTACTTGTATCGTTCTCAATAAAATGTGAATAATACCTCTTAATTCTGAAATGGTCAAAGACTTGAGCATTTACTTTGTCAAGCTTATTTGTGTTACAACTAATAATACATCTGTGTACTAGTAAATATTTCTTTTAAATGATTATTTTAATAAATACTATGTGTTAAATGTTAAATGGTAAATAATTAACACTCAACTTCCACTCATATATGAAAGCCAAGCTTATGTTTCAGCCCTCTAGATCACCTAGCATGTTAAAATCTTTCAATTTATTTTGTATAAAGGCTTCATATTCTATTTTTTTCCAATTCTTAATAATTTCCTGTAGCTACATGGCTGTAAGAATTACAGAAGATGTAAACTGATATGAAACCTAATATTCCTGTAGATGGTCACCTACAACTGAGAAGGCAAAAATCTGTGTACAGAAAGTACATTTTCGATTATCTGTGAGTTACAATTATTGCCTGTGTTTCTCTAGTTAAATCTTACCTGATTAAAAAAGCTCCCACCATCACTTCTCTCTTTCCTCAGCACGAGCAAAATATTTTGAATGTTATTTTTTATTAAGTCAATGTCACTCACTACTGTTTGAGTTCCAGGACAAAGCAGATTATAGAGGGTTATGGAACTCAGCCAGGTTATTCAAACATAGATATTCAGAATTTCAGCATAGCTGAAACAGACTGTCACCTGCAGGTCAAGAGGGTAACTGTCAGATTCTTTCCTCTGCACTCATGTGTTGCCAGTTAGTTTCAAATATAGATGTACTGGATCTAACTAAGGGAAAGGCTTGTCTCTCTTGAAGCAGTTTCTTAAGCTGTGCTTAGTAGATACTTAAAAATGGACCTAACCTATTTTGGTATTTTGGCAATGGGAGATAAAGCATAACATTTCCTGTGCCTCACCTTTTAAAGGATTTAAAGGTGCGAGAGCACTGTGTTATTTTGCTGAGTACAAAAGAATTCTGCACCTCCTAAAATCTTTTCAATGTGTCATTTTGAAGCTCTTCACATTTCATGTAAGTTTTCAGAAGAAAAGTCAGTACTGATTATTGGATCTTTATAGTAGTCCTGACTTGCTTTTGCCATTCTTTCAGAAATGATGCAAGCAAATTTGATATCCATATGTTCCTACATAAAAATCTAACTATATCTTTGTTGTGTACAGCACACTTTAGGTTAATTCTATGAGTACTGTTAACATTGTAATTTGTTTTTAAAGTAGATTATAGCGTACCTAAGCTTTCTTTACAAATGAAAATTTGTTATCACAATGCTACATGCATAATGTGTTTGAAAAATTAAAAACTTTTGAAATTTGCAATATTCAAACAGATCTTCAGTGTCAATTTTCCTCCTTTTGAGGGGAAGTGGAAGAGGAGATAAGGAGTATGAGGAAGAATAGGGGAAAACATTTTCAGAGATATGCATGCATGCACACGAGTTCCATGATAAACAGTCTGGCTTGCATTTATTTTGCTCCACTTGACTAGGAGAACTTCACTGTAGTTTTGAACTTTTTGAAAAACTTAATGTCATAGTAGTTTTCAGCTCTCCCTCCCAAAAAAAAAAAAAAAAAAAAGCCAGTTCTTGTTAACTGGAAACCATGATGGAACTTGAACAGAAGCTTGGTCAATAGGATATCTGATTGCCATATATAATAGGCAAATAATTAAGAGCTTTCAATATCTTGTAAAATAGAGTACTTAAAGTTATTAGTCACAGTAAAGATTAAATTATTATTTACTAGCATGTCCTTTTGTACCCAATAGGATTATAGACTTTTCTACCCCCACATATTAGATAGAACTACAATCTGATTCTCTGCAGGCAAAAATTTTTTACTTTTGCAATTGTAATCTTTTTATAAAGAGTTTGTGCTTCTGCTTAACCAGCCTTTCTTTAGGTAGGCTTTTATATAACTCTTCCATCTGAGTTTCCTGGAAACATCAATTTGTTTTCTAGGATCTCATTGCCCTGTCATATAGGGATATTCAATATGTGCTGGTCAAACAGGAACTGTATTTGCTGGTGTTTATAGCTACATCTATTTATACATCTGCAGAAGAATATAACCTGCTCATGGGGGATTTATTAGTCTTCAGATGGTTCTGTATATGATGATAGATATACTTAGAACTTCTCTGCAGTGACCTTTGAAACTGCTGATGAGTCAGGCTTCGTTTTCTTTATTGCAAGAGGACTATGGATATTTTAGAGAAATGTATTTATATTTTATTGTAATATGCAAAGAGTGCTTGTGAACGATTGGTTGCATCCCTTATTTTTCTTTTTTAATCTCTAACTGTATTTTAAAACACTGACATAATTTTACACAAATTTAAGAGGTATATTGATGATTTTAATCAGCTTTCAGTAATGGGATGCTATTGCGTGAATAGAATCAAGTGTTTTTAGAGAAGCAGGTGACATCTGAAGTATTATACCTAATTTTAATTCCAATGTAAAGGCTGTGGTGTACAAACGGTTCTCAATTTTTAGCTTCAAGTGCTTCTAGTACATACTTATGAATGTGAATTATTAGATGTGGTGAGTTACTGTTTTTTTGTTTCCATGTACCAAGAAACTATTGCATATGGTCATAGCACTCTCTAAATTGCCAAGGTGTCCTTGAGTGACTGTATTTGATCAGAAATATTTAATATCACCTGCTGTACATGAAAATGCACTAGCCACTTCTGTGTCTCCTAGTAGGAACAATAACTAAAGGAGGCTGGTTCATGTTTCCTTTCAGGCACTGAGCTGCTCCTTCATGCCCTTTCCAGGCTTTGGCAGACTGGTTAGTATCCCTGGAGCAATAACCTGTGCTGCTCTTGCTCGTGCCCGTGCCCTGTCTGCATGGCCAATGCGTGGGCAGAGGCCCCGTCTCTGCGCTGCGGGCTGCTCTGCCTGGGGCTTGGCTGCACTCAACAGCGTCGTTCGAGAGGGCTTGTGTCTTATTAATGGGAACGGTGATGTAGACTAAACACTCGGATACCTAGTTTGAAAAAGTGGCTATTTAGCAGCCTGTTTTTCTCCTCTGTGGTTTATCTGTTTGTCCTTGGTCGCAGAACTGTCTCCTAATGAATGAAACACTGTGGTTGGGGATTGAGTGCAGCCACAGAGCAGATTCCGCTGACCTGAAGCGTGTTAGTGTCTGTGATACCCCACAGGACGTAGGGCCAGTGCCCTGAGGGCTGGGAGCAGAGGCAGGCCGAGTTACTGACACTTGCAATGATCTGATCGCTGGAGTGTCTATAGTAACTGCCTGAAGGCTTTGATATGGCTTAAAAGAAGTTTCAAATGCCTCTTTTTTTTTTCCCTCCTTCCAATAGCAGCTTTTATCATTAGTCAGTATATGCTATCAGCTACAGACCTTGCTAATAAAACTGTGCATGGGAGCCTCTCTTAAAATTGTCTAATTGCCTGTGCACCAGTGGATCTTCTGCTCCCGTGTTTAAAAAAAAAAAAGTTATTGTTGGATATATATGCAGCATCAAATACATAAGCTGCAGTTAGAGCCCCAAGTTGGGGTGTTCTCATTCCCGTCGCCGTCTGTGTGTTATTGGAGGGATGTACACCAGACTCTTTGCAGAGGAGAAGCAATGGTCAATGCTCCACGAGAGGATTCAGGTGCATGAAGAGTATCTAAGTGCAAATCCCAAAGTACATGCCATGGATAACCAGTGCTAGGATCATGTGGGGTTCTATAGCTTTGCACATTCATCCTGTAACTTGCATGTTCCTTGCTAGAGATGTGGTTCTTATCTTTGTATGCTGTTAGGACAGATGGATTCAGTTTATCTGTTCTTTCTCTACAATTATTTAATGGCTTCCTTTGTTAAAAGTCATGATTCACTTGTTCTCTTCAGTCCCCAAGTAAACTACTTTCACAAGTCTAACCCTGAGTTTTGCTTCTGAAGATAACCTGAAGTGAAATCTTTGCATAGGGAAGCCTAAGACGGTGAATTTCAGGTTTTACCCTAAGAGGTGTGGTTAAAATACCCTATTTCTGTTTCAACTTCTTCTGGAATGTTTCATCTCTGTCGTTGTGCTCCACATGGAACTCGGAGCTAGGCCCAACAAGATCCTTTCTGGTAATGACTTGGCAGCAGTGTCTGCAGAACCTCACTGCATTTCAGGAAGGAGTTGTCCTAGAATTTTGTCCTGCTTCATGTTTATTAAGCAGGCTCCGTGCACTATGGGATTTGAATAATAAGGGAGATTTGATCTTCAATAGATCTGTAAGGTGTGGAGGGCCATGTGGTGCTTTTGACTGTGACAGGAACTGATAAACTAATCAGATTAGAAAGCACTTGTAAACAGTTCTTGCAAGCTGTCCACAATATGTGCTTATTCTGACATTGGGGTAACAAAAGGCTCACATAGCCCTCTTCAGCATTTCCTTCTTAACAGTCGGGATTTCTGTGCTTGCTTTCATTTATTTATTTTTTATTTTTTATTTTAAAATATGCATTTTGGTTTGTGTGTGTTCAGTAATTGCAGGCTGTGAACCCTGTTAATGCTCTGATTGACAGACATTGAAACAGTGCATGTTAACCAGGTTTAGAAATTAGTCATCTTAATCTTCATTTTTCATTGTTGTCTTTCAAAATTCAGATTTTGGGGAGCCATTTTTTGCAATGGACAGGATGATGTCAAATATGCGAAACAGTATGCTAGAGATGCAAAGAAAATTTGTGAGTAACTTAAAATTTGTTTAATGACAGTGATTTAAACTGTCATTACTCTGGAATGGGGAGAAGATGGGGAGGTTACTGGCTTAGAGCGGATAGTAAGAAAACATGCTGGGTAGTTTGCTTTGCTTTCCGGACTAGAAAATACTGTAATTATAGTTCTCTGTGCTGTCATTTATAATTTGCTAGCAGCAGTACTTTAAACATAAGCTTAATTCTCTAGTGTTGGGACTGCTTTAAGCTGTCTGGTGTCTCTGTTGACAGAGCTGAGTACACCCTCAGTGCAGGAGGAGGTAAAGTGTTACTGCACGTCCTAAAAACTACAAACTCCCCAAAGCCTAAATGCCACCCTGTGCATAGACTTTTTGAGTCTATGCTTTTTAGAAATCGATCCTTTTTTCACTGGTTTTATGTTCACTGCTGTTTCTTCAGCAGTGCTTGAAGATAGAACATCAATGTTTTGACAGCATTTACGTTTGCTTTATTAACAGGGCCTTGTAAAATGGATTGTTGTCATTGTTGCTAAAATCCTATTTCACTTGAACTCTAAGACTCCTTACTAGATCTTCTAACCTATGAGATACATATGGAGATGAACATGGCATGACTAAGCTGTGCTAGGACAAAAGTATGAGCTGTTGCTTATTGCTGGCTCTGCTTTTAATTTGTTGGCCAGATTCCTGGCCTGGTGAGCCCTGTGCCCAGACAATGCTAAGATAAGAGTGAGGGCATATCGTGTCCCAGGATCTGTTCCCCCAAGGCTGCGTAGGCACATTCCCACCAAACTTGGGAAGAAAGATTTATGAAGGGGGGGAAGGAATAAATGGAGGTAAAAGGATCAACTTGGGTGGATGGAACTGTGTCTGATACCAGAATTGAGGGTTAATTCCCCAGGAGTGATTCCTTTTCTTAATGATAATTCCATTAAGATATTCCTAGCATGTAAGAAGTATTTACTATTCACAGATTTAACTTACATTAATAAGAAAAATGCGATGATTGCTCGTAGGATGACTTGTCTGTCCATCCAGATGCACACACATTCAGCTCCTCTTCTGTGATGACATACTCCAAAATAGGGGATGAACCTCCAAAGGTTTTCCAGGCTTCAGCTCAGACACGTACGGCTCCGGGAGGTGTAAGTAATTTTGAGATGCAGTGAAGAGCTGATAGGCAATTTACAGAATCAAAGTTAATCTAGGCTAAACCACAGTCTTCACATCTTTTTACTGGAGACAGTTACTCCTGTAATTTAGAAAAGTGTATGTTTACAAAATACTGCTTACATGAAATGCTACTTAAGCTACAGTGCTGTTTTCTTCCTTGCAATTTGTTTATGTGTAAGTATACATTTAGTTAAATTGTATATATCAAAGACTGGAAATACAGAGAGTCAGATCCCTTGATTTTCAAGGCAGTGTTCAGTGTTGTTGTTTGCTATAATTAATCTACCCCTATGCATTTTAAACCATCTAAAACATAAGCTACCAAAGGCTGTCTATGTCTGCATGGCATCACTTCAGATCATCCCCTTTACCCAAGTGCTTTTAAATGCTTATATAATGCTTCAGCTGAAGATGCCCTTTCATTGGCTTTCTTGCAGCTGTTGCATCTAATTCTGCTAAGAAATTTGAATTTGAACCCTGAAGCAAGGTTCATGAAAGACTATATGCAAGCGGTAAAGGCCGTTCAGCATGATTGGCTGGGGGATATGTTCAAGCTCAAGCAGGCACTCGGTTATCAAAAAGGTTCTAATAATATACCTATGAACACAGTGATAAGTGGTCGCCAGGGTTTCAAACCAGTCAACATGACAACCTGGTAATTAGTTGTCCCTTCGTGTTGAGAATACTGGCATATGCTATTATTCATCCTGGTGTCAAGATGACCGTTGAAGACTTGTCTGCAGGTAGTATATTTAGACCAGGCCTTGACAGATTCTGCCCTCCACCTCTCCCCCCAGCAATTACTATCCAGAATCTGCATTCAATGGACAGAAATTGCTTGATCTGTGTTTTGCCAATGTATTTTTAGCTAATGCAATAAACAAAATGACTGGAAAAGCCTACAAAGCCTAATTTAAAGTAAGAAATAAAAGCTTTGTGGAAGGAAAAAAATATTGTTGGAAGAACAGATATTTCCCTTTTTTGTACAGGTTAAGGAGACAAGAAAAGCCCTTAAAGATTCTGAAAGTGGAGTGGAAAAAATGGCTATTGGTCATCATATTCATGACCGTGCCCATGTTATAAAAAAATCAAAGAACACCAAAACCGGTGATGAAGAACTGAACCAAGAATTCATCAACTTGGATGAATGTATGTCTTTATATTCAATATTCTGGTTTTATACTGGTATTTCACATATCAATTTTGAAGTTTCATCCTGAGCAGTCTTAAAAGGGACCCTTTATGAGGAAATGCCAAGTCTGCAAATCAAGTTCTGTATGTTCAAGTTTATGATATAAAGTGAACGCGGCCTAAGTTTAAAAACAAACAAAACAGTTAAGACTTGAAAATGTTGCATCATAAGGATGTAATGGGTTCCCTTTGTGGTTACGGTAACTGCTTGTATTTGAAGATAATTTAAATAACATTTTATATTTTCAAACGAACTTTTTACAGAATTGTCAGATTTGCTGTGTGCTTATTTACATGGTTCTAGTCTTATGTCTAGTTATATGACATATGCATATCAACACCTTCATATACTTTTACAGAACTGACTTTCAATTTAATTTTTTATCTTTCAAGTTTTAAACCTACTAGCCATAGGCTTCTTGGTTGTCTCGTATGGAGCTTCCAGAATTAATCTTCAGGCCATATTAGAGAAATGTGGATCATAAGTTAAAAAACACTATTTCAACAAAATTAACTTTGATTACATGCTTTCTCCTGCTTTGGTTGCATTTGTTTAAAATAAAAATAACTTGGACTGTTTTTCAGCTGATGCCCAGAACTTTGATGAAGAGTGGCAGAAGGAGATTATGAAGTTCAAGCCATCTAGAACTACATACAACGTAGAAGCTCCAAAATACAGAAGTATTCACAACATATCCAAAGATGGATCAAGAAGGTAAAAATGTAGTTTCCTATCAGAAAAAAGTGCAGGGCATCAATAGAATAAAAGCCAGTTCTGAAGCAATCTGTTTAAGTTAATGAACAGACAATGCTTTCTGTCAATCTGAGAAGGAGTAGTATGCTTTGATGCTGCCACACTAAATATTAACATAAGGCAAAAGTAGTTTTGTAACTAAACTTTGAAGAAATTCAGTATTCTGTCTTTGAAAATGGCTATAAGCTAATAGAATAAAATGTATGAGATTTTTCTAGACAAGCATGTTGGTGCTTTTAGCTCAACTGTGCGCAGACATTTAAAATCCCTCCCCCGCCCCGCTCCATTAAGCCGGGTTAGTTGCATTAAGATTAAATCCTTATGTCGGAATCGGCTTTTGTGGAAGGAGGTCAGATGGCTTTGGTAGGGCGGTGTGTCTGTCTGCAGCTCTCCTTTGGGTTAGGTTTCAATTAGGTTCTCATACAGCCCAAAGGTCAGGAAATCTGTGTAGGGACAAGCATTTCATCTGCAAAAGGAGAAGCTCCCTTGCATGGGCTGTTTCCTGTCAAGCTTCTTTTTTCCTTCCTCCTGTCAATGTAACTTCAGGGGAAGTTGTGATGCTTTTGAGTTTAATGTTTGGTAGGGAATGCTATGGTGAAGGTGAATGATCCTCTTCTGCAAACTGTGCAGAGCACTTTTCCTCTGGCACCTCTGCAGTCCTAGAGATTTACTACAGAGGCTACCTTACCTTAAACCCCCATCTTGAAATATTTCTCATCAGGTGTGCAAGATGAGGAAATGGTCCACCTCCTTTTAGTGAATTTTATTAAAAGCAACTCGGACACTTCAGTGTTTGTGCTTTTCTCTTTTTTCCCCCCCTTACGACTGCCATTCCCAGCCTGTAAACAGTGTGCTCCTTGCATGGCTTCTCAAATACAAGAGCAAGGGTGGCTCAAGGGTTTAAAAACAAACGTTGCTTAATTTTCATACCTTCTATATCATAGTGCTAATATTATTTTACAGCTTCCAAAGTACATCTGTTCAGTAGATTGAAGACTTTTCCTAAAATAACTAGACCTCCAAATAAGTAATGAACAAAAAGCTTGATAAAAATGTATCACATATTGGTTTTGGTTTTAATTTTGTTTCAGAGAGAAACCAGTTACAAAAACACCAGTTGCAGGTTCTAGAGGACCCAGAGTTTCTTCAGAGAACCTCAGTGTGAAAGGATCACATGTTCCCATCAAAAGCAGCAAAAAATAAACAGTTTCCATGTCCTTTTGGACGGAGTTTCTTCAGAGAAGATAATGGTGCTGTCTGTTTGTAAAGTATATGCATATATATGACCAATCTCTGTTTTGTTTTACTATTAGTGTGCCTTTCTCCTTCAATCTTTTGACTACTGAATGTTCTCTAAAACTCTAGATCCTTGCTTTAAACTGTCTATTTTATTAAGTACTTTCAATTTCAAAGCACTTTAATGGGATATAGCTAATTCTGCTTAAAAATACTTTGTTTTGCAGGGTTTTTCCTCATAACTGCACTAGTTGTCTCTCTATCAGGCCTGATAAATCAAACTGCTTTTTTCCTGCACTGTATAACTTGCACAGAAAGTAGATTATTTCAATTTTGTGTGACAAACAATTATTAATTTGGATTTGGCAGTACATCAGTTAACCACAAATTCAGTGCACTATTGCCAGTATGTAATTGGATTTACAGTCACATTGTGAATTGCTACAGAATCCACAGATACATCTTAAATGTGGGAAAAGTGAAAGAAATACTAAAATGCTAATGAAATACTTAAACAAAATTAAAAATTTATCAGCTTTCTTATTCATGCACTGTGTTTGCATCTCACTTTTTTTTGTACCTAGGATGTTAATTCTGTATTTTTGATCACTTATGTATTTCCTTTGGAAGTGGCCCATTATATTTCATTCTTGAAGACTCTCCAGTTCTCCCTTTTTTCTGTGATAACAGTGTCCTCCTAAAACTCAACTGCAACTTAGTTCTTAATCAGAAAAGTATGTGGAAGAAATTGGTTCAGTAGGCAGTAGTTTGTTAATTAGATAATGAATTAAGGACTCCTGAATAACTAAAATATCTCTGCATATGGAAAACTTTTTTTTTCTGTCAGCTAACAGATCTGTTGTGTGACTTCTGTGCCCTGATCTAGCGGATGCAGTGGAATATTGTTCATGTTCCTCTCCCTTGTTTCTCCCCTTTTTCTTACCCTTACTGTTTGGTTAAAGGGTTGTTGAAGGAAGCAAACTGGTTGCCTGAGAAGGGGTAAAGTCTTTGTATTCGAAGTGTTGAAGTTCAGATGCTGTTTTGTTAATCAGACTAGCTCCCATGTTGTAGTGTTAATTTTCTGTAGAATATAGCATTATAGCATTAGCACTGTAACCTGTATTTCAAGGCTAAAATATTATAGTCTCACCTTAAAAAAACTATTTATATGATAAATTAAAAAGTCTAATTTAAGTATTTGTATGACTAAAAATTAAAAGCTGTCTTTAAAGCGCTTCTTTCTGGAGATTCCTTAGAGTATTTAACGTGGTTCTTGCCCCCGGGTGCTTGTGTTGCAGTCCCTGCTCCTGCCAGCAGCCGCTTCCCTGTGCTGTGCGAGAGAGCCCTGGCGGCAGCGAGCTCCAACCCGCTCTGCTCCCCTAAGGAGGAGGTTTAACCTTAAATCTTACCCCTTGGGACAGTGACAAAGGACAAAGTGGGGGCTGAGCCTCCCCTCCCTCAAGACTGCACCAATCTTGCCCTTAACTTAATGGAGAAACATAGCTGACAAACTCACTGCGAGCTTTTCATGTGAATTTCTCACTGATAAACAGCAGAAAAACAAAATAGAGCATAGTGCTTTTTTAGAGGGTGAGTTCAGTGAAAAATATGGAACAAACTTAACTTTCAGAAAAGGTGCTCTTTAACAGAAACTACTATTTATCTGTCCACTTACATTTTTAGGTACACATACTATGTATGCACAGGGTGAGGGAGAAGTGACCCTCTTGCGTAATTGAGAAAACAAGTGCAAAATTGCTGTGGAAAGAGGCTACTTCACTTCATTACAGATTATTTTGTTGTATAAAACGGTCTTCTAACCTGTAATGCTACACTTGTAGTTCTGAAGCGAGAGAAATCCTTCTCCATGGAACCCCCTGCCTATACTAATTCGTTAATAAAGAGTTACCACTTACTTTGGCTCAGTGTTAGTTTTTGGGGGTGTGCGTTATTTGCTTGGGGTCCCTTGGAAACGCAGCTCCCCTAAGAGCGCTGCAGTGAGAGGAGAGGCGGCGTTGCCCTTCCACCAGAGAAACGGACCTCCAACGTGATTAAAAATAATAAAATAATTATTAAAAGCAGGCACTGGGGCGGGCCCTGCC